AAAAAATATTATATTTATTAGGCGTAAAGGAAGCGGTTCTTTACATTTTTAAATGTATATTTAAGGATGCGAAACTAAAAAAAAAATCGATATGTTAACAAATTTAGCTTTAATGAAGACCAAAATTAAAAGTCTCTATATTTAAATTGATTAGGAACACCCATAAAATAATGTTTATAATATAATCGATTCATAACACTAGATATCATTCGGCGTCAATGCCTTGGCGAACCGCTATTTAAATTATTTAAATATAAAGCAGTAATATTATTAAATAATTACAAATCTTTATATTTTTGTATTAATTCATTCGGATCTAAAAGCACTCGACTTCGTGCGATGCCTTTGGTTAGCCCATTGTTGAGTAATCCTTGAAAATTACTGGTTCACATTTTATTAAATTCTAATTAGCAGAGAGTTAGTTCGGGTATTTCTATAGTCAAACAATGCGCTTCGTCTGCTTTATGGTCCTGTGGCCTTTTTTGCTGAGATTTGGCAAGCCAAGTGTGAATTTTATGCTTAAACACTTAGCCGACAGCTAAACGACATAATTGCCCTGAAAATTGCTTCAGTGTTCAGGCATTAAACAAACGACTTGGCTTGTCTAGGGATTTTATTTTTACGAGCCAAACAACATTCACGTGCGCGTATACTACATATGTATTACTTCCACACATACATATGTACATATATATTTAACTGATGCGAGAGAGCGGCGCTGCCTAATGACAAAGTGACCCCTTGTGGCATATGATTTATACCCCGCAGTTAGCGTGTGACGGGTTAATTGATAACCGCAATTAAATTACGCACGAAATACATTTTTAGTTAAACTAATTACAATTGTAATTATTGAAATAATTATTGATTGTGTTAAGATAACAAAAACTTTTAATATACTTAAAGTATATAGAAATCCAACTTGAATTGAGTTAGCTAGAGTAATTCGAATCAGACGCCAACTAGAATTTTACAAAGCATAAGTACGTGCTCTATGTAACGGAAACTCAAATCAAATTAGTTTGAATAAGTTTATTTAATTTTAAAACGAAAAATAGAATATCTGATAAGTATTTGAACTAATAAATAAAATATATGTTTATATATACATATGTAGCTGTTAATATCCCATAATATTCTCTTTAAATTCACATATACATTTTTCACTTACCCAACACTAAATTCTCCATACATATTTGCATAGTCCACAAGAAAAGCACAAAAACACACACTCTCACGCTGCCGTTGCGATTGTTCTGAGAGTAGCTGTAAAATAATTGCACACTTTGGGGTAACGGCAACACTGACGATAATGATAATTACCACGACATTTACGAGCTCTGTTTGACCTGTGCAAGTGTTAGGCATTTATGTATGTCTGTTTATGTTCTTTCTGCTGTCGACTTTCTCTTTTAAGCGTAATTAAAACGCACATTACAAAGGGCAAAGTGCTGAGCAAGCTAACGACACCCAAAGTGTTGCTACAATGCGTCGTTTATGCACTTCAACACAGGCAAACATATACACCCACACACACGCGCATCCTAGCTTTGCATACGAGGGAGAAAAACATACATGCGCATATATTTACACACACGGCTGCGTAGGCGCGACAGAATTTGCGACGCGTGAAACTATGCAATGGTAAATTAACGACAGCTGAGGCCATTGAAAAACTTATTTTATTTTAGTATCAGTGCAGCATAAAAACAAACAGAAACACAAAATAATACGGGTATGCGTGAGAGCAATTCGCAAAAGTAGAACTAACGTAAATTTCCCATTTTTGCGTTAATTGAATAACTAATGGCACCCAAAGTGCTGCCAAAATACATTACGCACTTTCGGCACTCACGTTCACACACAATTGACTAAAAAAATAATAAACCATAACTGCGTTGGCGCGGCTGCATTTTCAGCATTATGTTACCGATAAGTGAGGCTCTTGCAAAACCTAATTGAATTTTTCGGTGGTTTAAAATTCACAAAACCACACGCGTATCTACAAACTGCATCTATGGGCCCGCTCTTTACAAGCTAAACTAGGCTCAAATATGCTGCAAAACTAACTGTTTTCGGATCAGTTTCGCGTTCACAGTGCTGCCTGATAAAGCGATTACAAGTTCTCTTTCCCTTTTAAATTTCGCAATTTGACATTCCAGGGTCGCCACCTCGTCGAAAATGACAAAATCTCTAAAAAGGCTGGCAGCATTTTTTTTTTTAATTTAAAACGGTTTTCATATTTCTGCACCAAAATCATAAATTAATATTGCAAAGAAGGTCTACGTATAAACATTACACGCAGACACACACACACACACGCTAGCGCATACATCCATGCGTAAAGCCATTTATGCCCTTGTTGCAGGTTAAATGCAATTTTAATGCAATTCGCATGGCGTAATTTGCAAAGAGGTTGCTTGTGCATGACGTTGCGCCTGCTACGTGAGTTTTTTTTTATTCATTAAGTGCTGACACCTTTCAGCTTTTCACCTTTTTCAATTACCGCTCTGAGTGGAAAGACAAATTATAAAAAAAAATTAAAATGCAAGCTACAAATTGCATGAATATTTATATTTAGGTTATGTTTATGAAAACCATTGGATATTTAATGTGAAAGGAATATAATAAATATAATTTACAATGAATAATTAATATTGTTTCCTTTTGTTAGCTTATCCTTTTTTTTAAATTATTTCAAGATGTTCCCAAATTGTAACCAAATTTAAATATAAGCTATATACATTTCAGAAATAACACAAAATTAATGATTAAGTTAAAAAATTACAAATAAATGAAAAGAAAATGAAAGAACTATAAGTCAATAAAAAATATATGATAGAAAAAAAATAATAAATTTTAAATAAAATTACACACATAAACCATAAACAAATATTTAAATATTATCTATTTTTAACCTTCGACTAAGTCTTCATACCCCATAATTTTTGTTCAATTAGTCGCAATTTTCTTTCAACTTAATGCATTCAATTAGTTATTATTTAAGTCATGGCATGTGAGTACTAGGTACTTATTAGGTTAATATTATGTTTCAGACTCTCATATTTAATGACTATAAAAACTATTCTTTTCTTCTTTTTTTTTATTTATTTCCATATATGTAAACACCTTTGACCACATGTGTTTTGATTTTCAACAATGAATCATTCTCGACAACACACAACAACACAATGCTGGAAATAAATAATACACCAAACACTACAATTACAACAACAACATATATAATCATCATGTTAAAGGTCAACTGGCTGTTGGCAGTTGGCGAACACGCTTCGGACGTCTATCCAATAAGGTGGGCCAGGTGGATCCAACGGGCACCTTTTGTGCGGTGCCCGATGAGTGGCTCAAAAAGAAACTTGGTAAAAAAAAAAGAAATAATAAAGAAAAAACATGAATTAATAAATAAAGAGTTACAATCAAAAGGAACCCGCAATGAAATTATATATCAAGTGGAAAATTTAACTTATTTTTGTATTTTTTTCTCTCTTTCTTTCTTTCTCTTTCTCTCTATTCACAGTCGAGGCGGCGGAACCACCAACGGCTCGACAATTGTATAGCAGTAAGTAAAGCTTAAGTTTATATAAAAACAAAATATTTTGTAAATATACCCTTCCATTTCCTTCGTTTTTTCCGTCATTTCACAGTTTTCTTTGTGAATGCCGTGCCATTTGTAGCATTTGGCTTCCTGGACAATTTCATTATGATTATGGCCGTAAGTATTTAACAGACCATTTTCTTTCTATTTTGTATAATTTATAATATATAATAGATATGGTGGTAGAACTAACAAAATTTTAAATTTCTGAATAAAATATTTTTAAAGCTAAAAGCCTTTTAGAAATAAAAACTTTCTGATGCAAATGATAATATAGAAACATTATTGAAATCGCACAATTTTGCCAGAAATTTGTAATATTTATGATAAAAACAAAACTAAATGGTTTTTTATATTTTTATTATTATCAATTATTTAATTTGTAACAAAAATTGAAAGTAATGAATCCAATATAAATTAACTTTATTTGAATGTATCCAAGTCATCTCTAAACTTTTTATTTTTTATTATTTACATTTAATTAATACCAAAATTATAATTATTATGAAAATGTAAGATATTTTTAAAATATATATTCAAGCTTAACATTGCTCAGAGCGAATGCAACTTTTTCTACCAACAATTTCTAATTAAGT